ACATAATTAAGGATCAATCTAAACCGTTATTGTGATTAAATATTTAAGTCGCAATAAAAATGGAACTTAAAAGAATTTGAGTAATAAGCCAACGTTGAAAGAAGATAAAAGAAAAATAACGATTAAGATAATGTTGAAAATAATTTTATGTTCCGATTTCTTGGAGTAGATTAAATTATTTTCTTGTTGTTTCTAAAACGAGTTCTAAAGGAGTCGTAAGCGGCCGCCCAAGGAGAACACTAAAGAAAACTGGTGTGTTGGAATGAGACCGTTTTGCTGTTGCCACAAAACGAGCTACAAACTGTGCTATAAAATATTACAACACGAAGAAACAGAAACTCTTTTAATTAACCGAGGCAAGTTTACCAAGGGAAATTTTATTAGTTCATATTTAAATGTAAAAATGCTAAACGTTTTCATTATATTCAAGAGGTTTAATGTGTTTCAGCGGAGGAAAAGTCGGTACGATTTTTAGAAAACAAACGAAATTAGTTTTGACATTACTTGAGTTTAAGTGATATTTACTGTCTGCCTGGAGCTTGGAGGAAACCACATCCAACAATTAAATCAAACCTCTAGACTAATACTTTTGTATACTCGGATCACCTTATATCACTGTGTATTATGATTGATTTGGAACAGCAATTGTCTTTTTTTGTACATATTAGTATCACGATTGTAAGATAGAAATACTCGTATGTTGTGTATTTATTCATATTTTGTTACAATGTCTGACAGATATTTCGTTTTCAACCTAGTTTCGGATAAAATTAGGGCGAGTTACTAGTTAATTTGCCGCTTCCAGCTCACGTTGTCATGAGTGCTCTGCTTATTTTGTTTTCATTAATTACTTTGTTTGGTGTGACATTGCGAGGGAGTGTGTCATTATTGAGAATACAGAGATTAGATATTAATGAATAATAAAATCTTATTTCCTTCATTGCAATAATGCGCAATTTTTCGCTGAAGTTTGGTTTTGTAATATCTATAAGTGATGGTATCTATTTGTGTTTTCGGTCAATATAACTTATTTGTTATGTAATATTCGATTAGTAGTAAATCTTTTTGGATGTTCTTTAGAATGTGGGTGAGATTTGAAGATTTAAAATTATTTTTAAAATATGGGTTAATACTGGAAGATTTTATATGACATTTACTATTAATTTTTGAAAATTAATGGTCGAAAGTCGACTATCAGGCGATCATTTGTTAGTTTAATATTTAAAACTAAACACAATTTGAAATGCAAGGAAGATATTTTTGTAAATTGATTGTTTGGATGTTCAGACAATGCTTTTGTATATTTTTCAGACCAATACTGCTATTAGCATATAATCAGAATTACAAGGACGTGTAATTTGAAATAGCTGTGCAGTGTATATTATCGGAGTCGAAGTTCGCCTCTAAGTTACAATGGTTATTTACGGTTAAGTTATAAGTGCGCAGACCGACGGATAGTTGTTATGCAGGGGCGCGGACCGGTCTATCACCTGCATTGCTGGTTACAGACTTCTGTTACAACTAAGCTAATAACAAATTTTACCGCACTCCCTGAAGTATGCTCAGATTTATGCTCGTATTCATATCTCCTAATATTTTCAACATACTTGCAACATAGTTACTTACTACTATACATACATAAAAGGAAACCAATAATAGATATCATGAAAAGGGTAACTACATACGGATACAGAACTATTTGACACTGATGGAATTTTCATCGTTAGGTTTATAGTTTTTATACTAGTATTGGTAACATATACACAAGTATTTATAATTATTGTCATATCGAATAAAACTTATACATTTCTACATTATCATATGTTTCTACTTACGAAGTGAGACAAAGCATTCTATTCACGTATTTATCTATGTATATAAAAAGGTTAAGTTGGTTTGTGTACTCTTCAAATAGCTTCAAAAACTCAAAAATCTTCTACATTGACTGAGCTCAAATTTTGACATGATGTACAAACGCTTCAAAGATTGTTTTTATCTATTTTTCGAAGCTGTTTTGTTCGTCAGTCGTTATCAATGTAACCATAATGTGCCACAGCGAAGCGTGGCAAGGTACAGCTGGTATACGATAAATAACATTTTGTAATAAAATTACGAATAAGGGAAATAAACTTAAACCTTACATGTTTATTTCTCTTTTCATCATAGCCTTGTCATAAGTTGGCATAGAAGACTGAATGTGAATAAAAAAATTACGGTTTTTAAATAAATTGACTTCTTGTCTTCTAGTGTGCGGGCAGTCTCAGCAGGTCACAACTTTGATCTGAATCTATGATTTGTATTGTGCTCGAGTATTTGTATGTTGTGCTCGAGTATATTACAGTATGATTATACACAATTACATGATGTAGTTTTATAGTAAGTTGACGTTTGAAATGATGTTTTGGAAGCGGCGATGTAATTAGCCAAACACGACTGGATTTGCATTTCAAAGTGGAGTCATAATTGAACTCACGAATGCAAATAGCCCAAGTGGAATCGGATCGAGTTAGTAGCTCTCTCGAAGCTAAGTGTAGCGAGCAATGGCAGCCCGCGGTACTACACACTCCTCTCTCACCTATAAAGCGCTTCGAGCCCCGAGCGATGTGCTCAACTCGGCTGTCAACTTCACGGAATAATTTAATTAATCGACTAAGACGCTACACTGAGTTGAAACTGATTTGCTTTTCAGATACCCATTTACTGCCATTATTATATACTTCAAATTCATGTTCCATTATGCCTCACATCGAGGCAAGTCGAATTTAAAGTTTGATTGGCATTATAAAAATAATGTTAAATTGTTTTGTATTATATTTTTTACAATATCATTTTGAATAGTAACACACGTTGGACACTAATGAAACCACTTTGAGGTAGTAAATTAGCAATGAAATGTTTGTGCCATTGAAATACATTAATTATATTTTTAAATAAATTGAATCTAGGCTACTAGAAATATAAAGGTTATTTTATAAATTAGGTTTTGTTTTTTTTAGTAAATATAATATCTCTGTCATCATAAATTAGAATGATAAATAGTCAAATAGGTCGCTGGATTAGTTATTATATAATTTTATTTTCTAGTGCTCATTATGTGATAATAGAAATTACAAACTCAATTAATTTTCAAAATAATTAGTAAAAAAGACAGCAGAGGATTAATCTTAGATTATCTTTATAACTTAGTTTTAAGTAATAAAGTGTTTTATTAATAGTAAATTTGACAAATCTTGCAAGTGATGAGACTTATTTATTACTGTATTTAGTTTTTGTTTTTATTTATTTTGTGACGAGACAACCCGTTACAACACAAAATCCTTGTAGTTTATTATCATTTGATGTTAAAACTGTGTTTAATGAGCAAGCCCCATTTTTTTTAACTAAAACCTATAGCTCTTCTATAAAACATAATTTTAAAAGAACCTTATTTAAAATCTAATAAACCATTTAACAACACGGGATAGATTGCTTAATTAAACTCTGATACTTAGTTCTCAGCAGAGAAAATTGAGGGTGGGGTGTTTAGGACGGAGTAGGCAGCGAAGTGGCCAGATAATTAGATTAAGGGAAAGTGGACGAGCCGGGGTTACGGCCGTTTCCGAACAATGGTATCAGTACAGATGGTTCTCGATAATTCTTCAGTTCAAAACAAAGAATCTTGGTGCAAAAAGTATAAAGTATTTAGTTTTTCTATTTGTCTTACGAATGTCTTGACAAATATCCAATGTAAGAGCAACTGTACATTTTATAAAGCATAAAATTATTGAACCAGGTTTTGTTGTATTTCAAAACCTTACTCACTTATTTTGCGAATGTGAATTTATTTGTTACGCTGTACCGATAACTTGTCAGGGTACAATACAAAAAAAAAAACCTTATGTAAATGTAAAAAAAGTCAACTCACGCGACGCAGTTTTTCTATCGCTAAAAGTCTTGAGATCTAATTGGTACCTAATTATTAATCAACAAAACTGTGTAGTGACTGTTCAATATTGTTATCGTTGTTTCTTTAATAAATAGAATGACTTGGCCATCGCATGTCGACATAACACGTCTGTTTAATACGAGTAATTACGAGGATCAGAAAATCAAGTTTTTAACACTTCTAAATTATATTAAAAGATGAAGCAAAGTAACCCTAACCTCGTCAGAAAATATACAGTAACGTGAGAGAAAGGGGGGACAACTTCTAGGTGCTTTGTACTTTATTGATATCGAGTAGTAGAATTATTTAATTAAATGATTTTACTCAGTCGAACTTGTGTACTCGTACTTTTATGAACTCTGTTGCATAGGTTCATATTGAATGTAATTTAGGAATATACCTAGGTATGGTTATATTCTCTTGTCTTTATCAATTTTTACGAGAGTTTACAATCTAACTTAGAGTCATGCCTCAGCTATTTTATAAGTTATTGATGAATATAAGTGCATAATATGGCAGTAGTTAATGACGCCCAATGTTGAATAATGGATTTAATTAAGACCAATTTGCAGACTGCGCCAATCTAGTAATTACTGAATAGAGCGACGGCGCGTAATCAGCGCCCTTTGCCATGTCGACACGCGCCAACTTTGGGTGCTTTTGACTCGCATTTCACAACCTGTTGACGAGTCCCTAGGGCGTGAACAAGTCAGACTACAAAGCGGACTTTGCTTTACTTTTCAGATGCTATATGCTATCACAGGTTAAACCGTTACCATTAGATCTCACTTATTTAGTTTACAACCTAACAAACCAATTTTGTGAACAGCTACTTAACATAAAATAACATGACGTTCTCGCACCGCGAGATTAATCACTGTACCAGTAAGCTGGCTGGGTACCGAGAACGACTACATCGCCACTTTAACTTGAAGGCTCTATTTAAACTTTTTCAACTCTCAAAGAGCTAAAGTAGTCGGGAAACCTGCTTAATTAATTTACACGATTAGTAAATATCGTTCAGGAACATTAAATGGCAAGTTTTGAGAAGATATGTTAATATTTGAGTACTTGCCTTGTCATCGTCGCCTTCGCTATCACACTGTAAAAAGAGAAACACGCATTTTATTGACGTCGGAGATTCTATGAACTACCTTAATTAAATAGGTCATGCATAATACTTATAAGCTGCTGGTATAAAAAATACAGCATCCAGACCAGTTGCAATTATAATAAAACATACTACTGCCTACTTGTCTAATATATATAACAAACATACACATATATACATATAATTTTCCCTAGGTATCAACCACCTATAATGGTCCACTGCTATCCTATCCTTAGAAAAGAGGTTTGTTTGTTCCCTAGGTACGTTATAAAACAAATGCTTAAATATGAAACCTTTTATGTCATGTGAATAGTTTTGTGTCAATAAAATATTTGCCCGGACAAATGAAACTTAGCATTATTCGGCCGATAACTAGAATAATATCTAGGAAAAGTCCAATTCATATGGGAGAAGGCTACTACCGTAACATAAATCGACGTATACGTTACTCGTTATTTATGAGGTAAGTTCTCGCCGGGGGAAACAACAAGGGATCAGGCTGAGATATTACAATTTCAAATAAATACAGAACATGAAGTATTCAGGACGGGCGCAGGTAATGTTATGTAGTACGGAACAGCACCGCCTCGACAAATCTCGTGATTTACCTGCGCTACGCGCCGAATATCGAACAGGGTCTATGTGTGTTGCGTGCTCTGGGTAAATTTGTGCACAACTGTAATGGAGAGTTATAGCTATTACATGTAGTTTTAAACACTATGGGGGTTTTTATCCGTCCATACTCTATTAATTCTATATTTATACCTTACTATCGGATATTAAGTATTTTACTCATAAAGTACAATAATTATGAAACAAGCAATAAGCATTAACCCATAAATATAAGAAGAATCATGCACAGCCACAAAATAAAATATACTTATCTACTTTGTATTACACAGCAAAACGGACAACATTAATAATACTCACGATATAGCCTTTTCCGGAACTACAGCGGCTACTGGCCTGTAGGCAGGAGAGAGAAAGCGAACATATGAGTGGATTGGAATGACTAAGGGTGGTAAACTTGTCTCGTCTCTCCTAAGATTAAACTTAGCTGAAATGCATTCTTTGTATCTTTAAGAATTTGTAGCAGTATTTTAATATTGATTATGAACTCGGAGAGACGAGATTATACTGCAACGAAATATAGAAGGTAACATTTTATTTCACGATCTAACACTCAGTACAATCACAACACTAAGTGATGACATGCATCTCATTATTTTCTGAATATGAAGCATAACAATAATATATATATATATATATATGATCTTATTCGTAGTAAGCAAATTGAGGATACAGATTTTCGATATAGATTACTTTATTCACTCTAAATAGTTCACAGGAAAAAGTTATAAGATAAATTTGTGTAATTCTCCTTAGTGTACTATGAGCTCCAAACACAGCTAGCTTTGCAAGTTGATAGCAAGACTAGGCCGTAAAGTTAAGTGAAGCAAGGAGAGATACTCACGTCACTAAGACGATCGCGGGAAGAATCGGGATCGCGGGGAGCCACCGAACTACCCGTAAGTCTTTCTGAGGCCCGACCACTGTCATCCGACGTACCAGCGTCTTGAAGCAGCGTAATACCCTGTATAAAAGAAATTCAGGGTAATTATAAAGCCCGTATTAAACAGGGCAAGAAAATAAAAAGCTCTCTTACATACTTAAGTGATAGCGACTCGTGTACAGATACTTTAAGAGCAATTCTTTTGCAAAGAGGGGAGCAGCGGAAAAGCTTTTTATATAAAGCTCACAAAATTGAGCGGTAACTAGGATATAAGAAAAGTTGATAAGACGGGCCGGGAAAGAGAGGGCGAAGGAGGGGTGAGTGGAGCCGACCCAAAACGTAACGTGCCCCGGGCCCCGACAGTAAAAAGAGTTTTCCATTTATCACATTTCGCGTTTATTTTACGGTAAGGTTCGAAAGGCGCCCTCGTTCAAGCGGGTCAGCGACTGTGATGCTGAGCGACGAAAACTATACAAGAGTGCTAAAATAAATAAAACAAACTTTAATCGTTGCAACAGTGACTCTGCTATAAATGGACTTAAATTATTTTTATACTTCTACTGCCGCTTAACTTTTAGATGGTATAAATAAATCCAAAATTCGTTACCAGTCCTAATTTCGTATTTATATAAAACCCCTTTTAATAAAAAGTTGAACCGATTTCAAACAATACTAACAAAGAGCACTAAAAACCTATCAATCGCGGTTGATTTGCTGTCATATTTTTAAGGGTTCCATTGTATGTCTCCGAAAGTCATCATCACTTCAATATGAAAGTTGAATTCAATTCAAAAAAAGAATTCGAAAATCCGTCAATATATGACTTAGTTATGCCCGAACTTACATACAAAATATAAACATCCGGATTGATAACCTCCTTTTTGAAGTCAGTTAAAAAGCGTCTGTGGCGTAAGCGATTTACATCCATACCAGACATTGGAGGTCCGCCATCCTTTCTTTTATTGACCAAAACAAGTATTAATTAGTTGAAAAATAGTTACACAATTAACTTTGTACACAATTGCAAACTTGAAATTTTTCAAACAGCTCTTACCCGAAGAATCTTTAACAAATTTACATATGCGTAAGATTATGTCGCCAAGTCTAATAAAAGGGATTGCTTTCCGACCCTTTACATATATAAAATAAGATAAACAAGGTCGCACATATCAATTTAAGCCGTAACTCGAGGGCGAATAAGAACTCTCTAATCCTTGAATGGGTGGTTTCTCTAAGACACAAAGCGAGTAAACCTAATATTGTCATATAATTACTTCCGTACATTATTATATTAGCCCTAAAAATAGCTATAACATCAACAAGTTTTATTACTCGAGTTTTTCGACAGGTGATGTTTTCAGGCCCATTTTATTAATTTAATATAAGTATAAAGAACAAGTATTGCAAAAGTTGTAATCATTGTCAAACTACCTAACAGTAAAATCAATGCAATCGATTTAAAAAACAGTTTTTTTTTACTGCAGGATAGATATAAAGGTTGCAAATCAGATCTAAAAGAGTTTTGATTCATCGGAGTGCCTGGCGAGAAGCAGTCGTGCTCTTCACTGTCGACAAAACCGCTAATTGAAACAACGACCGCAACCGAGCATTACTTATTCATGAGAAGTCCATATGGCGGCGAAACGTGACCAACGAGATAAATCATTCAATTACATTTTTCATGAACAGACACTCAGGTGGTTATGCACTCTCAACTTTATACCAGACAATAGTTATTCACATTATAAAAACAAGAAGACTAGAAAACCATTTTTTTTTTATCAAAAAACATCTCAGCTGCAATAAGCAATTGTAAAGCTTATACGAATACATTAATAAGAAAGTGCAAAATCTAGTGACGGCATTGTCGTTAAGTGACATATTGCTTACAGTTTATTTATGTTACAACAAGTTATTCCTCGTGGTACTTGTTGTCAGTAACGACAACAGTTACGAAAACGACAGTAATTGGTTTTTTATTAGTATGACGTGATAAAAATCTTAAACGTTATTTTAAATATTTAATTTAATAATAAGATGTCCATTAAACATTAGTATTACCCTTGCAGTTGTTGTTACTTCGCTACTATTTGTCTTAAATTGTAGGGTTATACAAATATCATTAAGATTCGGCTAACATTAAGATTGAGAATTGATTAAGAATTTTAGTATTCTAGACAGCTATACACATGTGTGTTACTTTAGTCTGTAGAATTTTCAAATAGAATTTTGCGACAGACCGTTCTAGAATGAATATACTGCGGCGGCAAGCCCAATGGGTGGATATGTGATGGAATTAATATTTTCAATGTGTCGTCCGCAGTCGGGCAGAGTTATTAACATTTGAACAGTTAGTAGCTCGGAAACTGAATAGGAAATCCACGGAACTATTACAATCTATTAACAATTTACATTTTCAATCAGAATTAGTGAGCACTTCTGGTTTTAGTGGTGCTATACTAAATGTATATTATATTAACGTCCGTTATTAGGTAAAAAAGGATTAATTTATAAACAAAACTATGCCATATTAAGTTAGAATCAACAAAATACCATAATAACTATAATAAGTGTGCAAGATATCTATGCCAATGTTGCTCATAAAGGTTTTGGCAAGAAAGTATGAGCAAAACTTTAAAATTGATCATAAATGGGTATATAAAAAGATCAAAGATCCTATTAGCCCGTATTTATGAAATGTATTTATTTCTATATAATATCAAGTCAGAAAAGTAATATTACACAGAAATTGTTGTCTTTGTGCATTAACTTGTTTAATATTTTATTTCGTCTGAAGCTCAAGATCCCAGAACAAATCCCATTGACTCTATGCAAACAATCTGATCATATTGTGGCTCTATACTATGTAAGCAAATACAAATAGGACTGAAATAATGTAATATCTACCTTTTATTTTGAGTCACAAATGTTGGTACACATAATGTTCCGGCAGTATATCCAACATACATTTAAAGGTGTTTAAACATGTTTTTTTCTATTACAAATATACATAACATAAGGTATCAGGCTATGTAACCTTATGTACATAACATAAGGTAAGTGCTGACATGCTGAATATCAAACCTAGATGATAACTCTGGTATTACTTCATAGAAGTCAGTTTTATCTTTTTTATACACTATCCATTTTATAGCATGCACTATGCATTTGAACCGCCTCAACTACGACTATCTATCATAATTCAATTTTTGAAATGGCCACTGATTGTCCTAAATTAAAAAAGCATTTCGTAAAAAGTATTGTCAATAGTTTTAATAAAATCAGCGGCGTAGAGCGACATTACCGTACATCATGATCATGACAATACGAGTACTATTAAGTTTGATGATGAACATTAACGCATTGTTAAATTGTGAACTACTATCGAATTTAATTTAATGTTTAATGAAAGTATGATTCTTCAACAAAAGAAGAAATAATGCAAGCCATGTTGTAAACGAGCGCCTTGATGCTATAACTATAGTTTTATGGTGTAATACTATTGTATCGGTCAACTCGATACAGTTCTGCGCCATCTTATCAGTGTGTGTTAGGTTTGTAGAGTTATAATGAAAACACTGTACCTTTTACGAAACTGATTAGATTTTAGTTGTACGATTTTTTATTTTATGGGTTCTTACTACATTCTCAAAGAAATATAAATATTTAAACATTTTATCACTACTATATTTGCGACTCATTTTGTCCTTTAAGATAAGGCAAGTTGAGAGCGACGTAAGCAAACTACAATAACGTCCCAAAAGAAGAAATAAAAGTATTTGGCATTGGCGTCGTGTCTTGTCCGTGGCGATACGCCAGCTTTCCCGGAGACAACACAATAAGGACGCTCTTCTGTCGAAAGCAATCCATGTCCGCCACAACCAATTTATTGTTAACGTACAAACACAGGTATATTGCAGGCATATTATCTACTTCAGAAATGCATACGTTTATTTTTTTGTCAATTGAATTTCTAAACTGAAAATATTTATATGTAGAATTCATATTTTACATTACAATTGACAAGTTATTGAAATATACAAAAACCTTATTTTAACCACAGACATGAGAATTACCAATGGTCACAAATGCATAATAGACTTAGTAATTAAATATGAATGAAGTCATTAACTTAATTACGTAACTAATTGCGAAGTGAATTAATTTAATTAAAGTTAAAAGCTAGTTGGCTTAAGTGGTAGGTGTTTGAAACAAATTTTACTAGCTACCAGAGACTTAGCTCCGTCTCGGAGCGTAACTTAATGATCGCGTACGGGGGATGCTATATTCTATTCGACGGTTAATTGAATCCTTGAAGTGCTATTAGTCGACACCGCAGCAACGCGCGTTCCAGCTCGTGCCAAACAATCGTGCTCATTCCCGTCTCAACTCACTCTAAATATTATTTGAATCGTTATATTCCGTAAATTGCAACTGAGTGAACTGCTGATAAAACAAATATTGCTGTACTGTAAACTTGTAGTAACTTTCATGTAAATTAAAAATACTTTCGTCCGTTTACCACACATGCATACAGATTAAAAGTTTGTACTGTGAGAATCAATCAATGCACAGAGATTTACATGCACACTGATTCAAACAGTTTCATATAGCTGGCATAATTTATTCTGGCGATGGTAGGCTGCGGCGCTAGATTTTCCGATTCAAGCAACAGCACGACTGGCGGGAGGCAAATTGGATGGAATTGCGACATATCTTGGCTGGCGCCGGCGAACAGTAGAAATTCACGAGAGATCACACGGGGTAAACTGCTCGCATTCCGCTCAGAGTGTTCCTTTTGAATCAGAAATGTGAACCTATTTAGAACACAAGTTCACACTTCAATTTTTTTTGATGATTTTATACTTTATTTAAAGTTTACATGTCTTGTTTGTATTAAATCATAGGAAATGTAACAAATCTTTAGATTACATTTTTTTAGATTAATTTACTTCTACTTAGAATTCGTTATTATAGTAAATAATTATAGTAAGTAAATATATTTTCATAGGCAAAACTTAACAAGTATAAGGCGTCGTCCTAATTGGCCACAATCGTACGATGGCGCGATGCGTTTTTTCGTCTCCGATCAAAGTGATCGTGCGATGATCCAACAGGTGTCCTAATAGATCGCACGATGTCACATCGTGCGATATCGTCGCGCTCAGAACGCCACTTTAACGATGGCTCTTTACAGAGATGCACAGTTTTTACTGTCGGCCAATATTGATTTGAAAATTGCAAATGACATTGAAAAAAGGAAACGTAGACCACATAATATACTTCATAGATCTAGGAATATGCGCGGTGAATTTTTGAACCATTATTTTGATGTACGAAATAACGAAGAAGACTTTTACAATTATTTGTCCATGTCAAAAGAAACATTTGACTACATTTGCAACTCAATACGTAGAGATCTTTTGCTTTGGTTACAGGATCGCACGATCAAACGCATCGTACGATCGTTATTAAGCATTTTACGTGCTCGCACGATTACTTGCGAGGTTCAAATAGGACACTCTGATGAAATCTGTATGATTGAACTCATCGCACGACGAGAACGCATCGTGTCATCGTACGATCGTGGCCAATTAGGACGACGCCTTAAGTGTCGAAAATAAAAACAATAAAAAATAAGAATAAAGTAAAAAAGTTGTAAGATTGTAGCGTTAAATACCTTTTTTTATGTATGCGTTGCAAAGTACGTAAACAAGATATGTAGGGTTTGTTTATTTAACAGCAAAGTTGAGGATGAGAAGAAGCGCGTTGACATGTCCATTTGGCGTATAAATTGAAGAAAAAGAAAGTTGATCCTGAAACGGGGCAACCCCGGTAAACTTGCAGATTTTTTCTTTCTTTTTTGTACTTTTCTCGTGTTTGTACATAACTACGAGCTTACTTTGTATTCTAATTTCATTAAATTCGAATTTGTTTTCTAATCATATGTATAAAAAGAAACAGCAATGTAGACTATGTATTAATGATTCTGGTGTTATGTCGTCGGTATTTTAGTTACATGATCTGAAATTTGTCACGAAACAATTTAGTTTGGTTCCAACATTAGACTTTAATTATGGTTAAATCATTTCAGACTCCATTAATAGCATAATTTCAGTGTATTGTTAAACTGTTATATTATGTATGATGGATAGCAAATAAGTCCGAGACATTCTGGTAGTCAATAAGAGTTGTAAATACAATACCAGTTGTTAGTATTGGTGTTTTACAGTATCTATCATGTTGGGCTTATGTGTGTGATGTGTTAACATGATAAAAGTCGTTTTAATATGTATGTTGTTCGACTATATAAGGTACAACATTCAAATACAAATAGCACAGAGTGGTCAGCTATTCGCATGCTAAGCGTGACAAGGCAAACGTTTTAATGAAAAGAGATACTTATTACGTGGGTCTTATTTCGCCACTGCCTTATAAAGCTCTTGGGAGTATTCGCCCGATTCGGCACGATGACAAGTCTTGTTAATTTTACTTTTAATATATTTTTTATTTTAAACCATATTTACTTTAGATAATTTATCAAAAAAAAATGGTTTTAGGAGATATTTGAAGACTTAAATATTACGCCATTAGACATCATATTTCCACGTAGGTACGTAAATGAATATATTTCTTGCTCCAAGCAAATAACACTAAAAGAGTTATTTATATAGGTCCCTCAGCTTTGTTTAGGCGTTGGCGAAACGCGAATATTTAAAATGAGTGTTACTTACATGAGAGTTGACATTGTTGGGCGGGTGATTTCGCCCTGAGTCGGCTGCCAACGCCGCCAAAGGCAAGCGAGGCTTTGTCGACAGAGCGTTTGTGCGAGGTGAGGCAGCGCATTTTACAGCAGCCTGTCAACAAATATGCACATATTACAAAATTTTACACTTTGAGGTTTAAGATTTGCAAAAAGCTGTCATCATTTAAACTCTGCAGTGAGCAGAATGCACTTGAAAATTTATTGTGATCTGAATTATCACGACTAATAACTTTATTTAAACATAGCATGTGACAGGCTGTTGCTGATAATTCTAAAACTATATTTAATAGTTTTTGTCTATATCGACGTAAAAAAGTATATGAATAAAAAATTTACATTGATGTTATTAAAACTACTTTTTATTTAGTGATTTATTATTTGCTTCTATTTGAGAAAACAAGTTGCCTCAATTACCGGGCCTATTTAAATTAACTCAAATCTTTTCGAGATTGACTCTTTAGTTTTGTTATGTTTCTTTTTGATTTTCTAGAGATATTTTTGTAATTCTCAAATTCAAACTCAAATTTTTTTTTATTAAGTTGGCCTTGTTACAGTGCACTACGTCAGCAGTTTCCAAATAATAAACATATTAAATACACGAGACGATATAACAGCAGAGATGAGATGACCTTGACCTAAGTGAAAGGTCATAAAAGTCAATCAATCACATTCAATCAATGACATTTATTACTACTATTGGTCTGGACTATTGCAATAGTTCAGACCAGTCTGCCGTCACCAGACGGTCTAATGACTATAACTATGCAGGTTGGCAGCGCAACGCCTCAAAAAAGACTAATATATTATTATAATGTATTTGCATTAAAAATATGTTTTATTTTATAGTAACACGCAATACTATGGTACATTTTAAAATAGTATCACCGATTTAAATCATGAATGGTAAGAAGCTTAGCCATTCACCGCATTTATCCAGTGAAGTATTTTTTCTTTTTGTAAAATATATTTTATTTCCCTTATCTTGGTACCCTTTCAAACAAAAAATAATATTCCAAACCGGTCAAGCCATTCATAAAAAAAAATCGACGAATTGAGCACCACCTTCTCTGTGAAGTTAAATGACAGCGGATAATTCATTTCTCATTACTTGCTCGAACGACTTCTATAATAAAAACTATACCTTTTAGAAGTTAACGTTTTTGACCTAACACCAATATCACGAATATAAATGAATTACATTATGTTACTATTATTACTATAAACTAGGTAATTTCTTTTATTATCGTAGTTGATGTACTTAATAAACTGCACTTGAACGAAAAGTTTATGTAAGTTGGTTAGGATGGTCAACTTGGTACTTGAGATGACGCCCATAAATTCTGTGTTAAGTAGAATACTTATTCATAAACTGGTATGACTGCTTTGAAATGTGTTTGAAAGCAAGAATAACTCAACCAGCTATATACACGGCTCTATCGCTGCTTTGTTTGAAGGTACGAAACTACAAAATCTATTTTAATATTACAGAATATATACTTTTTAAAACTTTATTAGTACTTTCAAGAGTAGAGAAGTTTTATTTACGCGTAACTTTTGTTCCTCATTCCTAATCAATGCAACTACAATTTGCCTCAGCTAAGCGCGGCAGGGTACACCTAGTCCCCGGCTATTAGTACCTGAGACGGCGTGCGGTTTTAGTCGGTTCGAGTCACCGACAGCTGGTATCCGAGGGGATTTCCGCACGGAAAAAAAAAAAAAGTGTACACCTAGTAGATTGTAAAAAAAGTGTAATAAACCAATAAATCATTAGAAATATATGATTGAAAAGCAATTATTACTATAGATGATAAAGAAGAGAGTTATTTAATCAAAAACAATGGTTGTAGAAACTTGATTTAAATGAAATACTTAATACTTTTGTTATTTAAATAAAATTCAGAAAAAAAATTGTGCGTGAAACACACCGCTGCCCTCTGCAATTTAACCATTGATAGGGGAGATATGTTTGGAATTGGTGACACAATGAGGGTGGTCCCTAGTGACATATGACATATCTTTGTGTGTGCACGAAATATTTTGGCGTCATCCTAGCGTCCGGCGATTAAAAAGGGACACAGATTTATCTGAGTTTTTTTTTCGTGTTTCTAACTATATAGATACAACTAGCTGTACCCGCAATGCGTTGCCATGCTACGTAAAGTATAAAGAAATTACGAAACAATAATTCATTGCTATACAGAATTTTGAGCCAGGAGCTTGCGGGGTGTCCCACCTAGATACAGACAGATTACAAAAGTTTAATTACATTTCGATCAATGGTTTCGGAAAGCATAGAGAACATACATTGATTTGTATCCATAGATAATGTCTGAAACGATTTAATTTATAAATCTGTGTAAAATAAATACATATATGTAATAAAAATATAATAAGAACTCTAAGAACCGCACAGACATAAAAATCTTAGATAGGTATACATAATAATTATAAGCCAAAGGAAATCCTTATAACGAACTAACTATTGTAAACGATTAATGAGGTTTCAGAACGAAAGAAGACGTATGAAAACGATTCAAGCTACAGTTTACATTTATAATCAAAGTAGTAAAGTCCCCGCACATGTTGCCGTGACCGTCCAACATGAATAAATATTAACAATAAACTACAACATTCCACGCCCACAGCTGACAACTCGAACTATTTGTAAACATTAACCAATTATTTAAATTTGTAAGGTGGCCTTTTTAAAATACTGCTGATACTATTAAAGAAATCTAATGTCCTCAAAATAAAACAAAAGCAGTTAATTGGTATAAAATAGTAACGTTTACTTCTATAGTAGATGAATTCGTCAGAATGATCTCTTGAATACGTATGACACAAAGAATAAGCTCTCAAATAAATTGGCCACGCAAGATAATAAAAAGAAAAAACCCAGAGTAAACTTCATTTTACAAGGAATAAATCTCTTCAGAACTGCGACGAAAGCAAAATTCTCTCGAGAACTGTGTGACTTTCACAAAAGATTTTATACAATTCATTTCAGCCTCATAAAAAAAGTTATCACGAATTCACAGAAATCGGGCGAGCTATTTTTCTGCCGTCGGCGTTGCTCCCTCTGGGAACGAAAGCCCAATTTTAGATTCCTTAGGGTATCACAAGCTTCTTTTCATTTACGAACAATGAGCTATTAGTTATCACTTTGACTTACATTTTATAGACCATTATGTTTAGAGTTGCACTGCGACTCGTGCATTATTAATTATAATTAATGTGTTAATAGAGAATAAACGTGACGAGTGATATTTACAAGACGCTGTCAAATAATTAGCATAGGTCAATAACTCAGTAGGCCGCAAGGTAATCGTCTATCTATGCGAGTACGCCCGTCACACCACGTCGAACCGCTCGCCGACAACGGTCATTTGTTGTAATTGCCTCACCAACAACGTATTTATCACTAATGTGACAGTACTGATACAACCATTATAAATAAATAATATCATATTAGACTGTTTTATTCATTTGTTACGTCTACCTGATGAATATTATTACTGAATTAATTAAGCTACTAATATTTAACATTCAATAGAAACTAGCCGTTGTAATTTATTTATGTAACAATCTTATGAGTTACAATTACATTACATACAATTCTTTAATATAATGACTTATCGTTGTATTTTATAAAAACTATAAGTAATAAACATAGTAGTTAATAATAGTTAAAATATTTGGTAAAAAAAGCAATTATCGAACGTAAGCATTTTATAGACCATTACTTTTCCGTTGGATAAACTGAAGTTCACTCAGTGCTCAATTACTTCCCTAAACAGAAGCGAGAGCGGATGGTTATGTTTTGGTTATAAGAATATGTACATAAATTTAATTTACACAAGAAACATTACAAGAAACATTAAGAAACATTATTAACAAACCCCCATTTGAAAAAAGATAATACGTTTTACATTTGGATGGATAAATACTAAAATTTTACTAGGATCAACTGTTGAAATCACTGTTTTTTAACTTTGAGCTAAGTTATTTGATTGTCGACTTTTAGAATGAAAAACAAAACTTATACATTTAACATCTATCAATTTCAGACTACAGTTATCAGATGTGGGACTCTAGACGACATATTAAAGGTTAATATTTGGCCAGTATTTGCTTCACACTGTTGTTACAGAAAACTAATAAATTATTTTAAAATAAAAAAGAAACCGCCTTCAAAACTCACACTAAAACACATGAAAATTTTAATTGCATTCGAGACGACCGTCGACGAAGTCCAGGTGTAGCGGGGGACCTATTTGGCTTGGCACTGTCTTCAACATCAGTAGGTGTCTAGCACATCTAATATTTTATTTAAATTAATAAATAACATATTTCAACAAGAATTGTCACATTGAAATTGTGTAAAAAGAAAATTATAAATGGCAATTGGGTATTAAAATACTTTATCGTAGGTATAGTAATTAAGATCACTGTTTATAGATAAGTGAGTGTTTAGTTGATTATTGTACTGGAATTGTAATATAAATTTGATTTATAGGGTAATATAAAAAATTGGGTAGGAAATCATATTATGTAAATAACAATTATTTTGTCCTTTTTAATTCCTGGGTGGTTTTGAAGGTGGTTTCTTTTTTATTTTTTTTATTTTTTAAATAAAGTAGTACTTTTTAGTGGTGTTTCATAAAATAGGTGCGTAGGATAGAGTAGGTGGTACATGTTGGGAATGTCTTCCTTGCGTGCATCTCGTATGAGAAAGCGTCTAGGACAGGTGGTTGAAAATGACAAAGCTGAGCGCCTAAAACACAATAGAGAAAGAAATAAAGCACAGCGTCTCGGAGAGTCTTCAGAAAACCGTGAAGAAAGGCCTTCTCAAATGTGCAATTGCATATGTAAAAAATTAAATTGCCTAAAGAAACGATAGGACAAAGTGAACGTCGGTAGTCTCTTACTTATGAAAGACTATCGAAAAAGTCAGCTGTGCAGCGCGAGCATCGGTTGCCTCTTATTAGTGAACGACTATCGAACGAGTCAGCTAAGTACAACATCGTTTGTCTTTGGCCAGACACAAATCCGCTCAACTACTACTTAGTGACACAGCAGAAGAGAGAGATA